CCAAATCACCATGTCATGAATTTGAAATCTCAATATGACTCAATATATAGTTCTAAAATATGAGTTACAAATTCGGAAGAAAAATATTTTTGAGAGATTTTGGCTTAATAATTTATAATATATTGTTGACAGATTTTCTTTCACCTTTCTTTACATTAGTTACTGCAAGAGAAATTAAAATCCGCACAAAAAGGATAAGGAAAAATGGATATGTGGGAAGAGGAATGAGATCATTGGAATAGAAATTATGTAAAAAAATTTGCAGAAAAAAAAACAAATTCGGACTTATACAAGTCATAATTTGTGTTTAAGGTTTGGTAGTCAGTGGTGATAACAATAATGACAAAAAAAGGTAACAATAAAAGCATATATCCAAAATTAAAGGTAAAAGGTTAAATAAGACTTGGTAAAGATACTCTGAGATATGCTTATTAGTCAATGGCGATGACAAAAGTATGATTAATCAAAATAAAATTTGATAAAAGATTGATCAATATTAAGCATAAAATAAATGAATATGAACCATGGAAAACGAGTTAGAAGAGTTAGAGTTGATTCATTGAAGAAGAAAAAAAGGATGTGGTGCATATGATAACCACAAGTCCACAAACCACAACACAGTTTTGAAGATATTAATTATTTAATTAATATCAAATATAGAGAAGTTTGTCTCAAATGAATAAGATCATTGATAAAATTTGTACATCATACTCTAAAATGAATACGATCATTGACAAAATTTGTACATCATATTCTAGTGTTATTTATGAAGCCAATACAAGACATAATCGAATAGAATAGTATAAATTTTTTTAATTAAAAATATATAAAACATATAAAGTAAATAATATTTTGATATTTATCAATGAATGAAGTATATTTGGTTTTTAAAAGATTCTTACCATAGGCTTTTGGTTTGTGACAGGGTCATTTTGAGATACTATCGCTGTCTGGTTCTTTCTTTCATGGAAACAGGGAATCAAAATTCAAAAGGTCGGTCCGGTGGCATGAGCCGGTTTTTGTGGTTCTTTGTAAGGCTCGGTTTTTGGAGATTATGGG